AGAGGTGGTTAAGAAAGAAAAACAACAGGAGCAGCTGTTTCTAAAATGTTTCCCTTGCTCTGTTGATGGTAGGCTGGTTGTAACTGTAGTTCTTAAATCTCAAGGGGTAATTGAGGCTCTTTGGGAGTAAAAGACAAGTTCTATTTTGGGGTGTGTTAAGGTAATTATAAATTGTGGCTTATTTCATTTTTAGGCCTTGGACAAGATTCGTTATGAAAGCCTGACAGACCCTTCCAAGTTGGATAGTGGTAAAGAGCTAAAAATTGACATCATCCCAAACCCCCAGGAACGCACCCTGACTCTGGTAGACACAGGCATTGGCATGACTAAAGCTGATCTTATAAATAATTTGGGAACCATTGCCAAGTCTGGTACTAAAGCGTTTATGGAGGCTCTGCAGGTAATGTGTTTTTGGCTAAGCACACAGTTTATATGTATTGTTTCTCTTTGGCATGCAGTTTTTTCAAGACTTGTATTTGACTTTTAAACATTTTGGCAGGCTGGTGCAGACATTTCTATGATTGGGCAATTTGGTGTTGGCTTTTATTCTGCATACCTGGTGGCAGAGAAAGTGGTTGTCATCACAAAGCATAATGATGATGAGCAGTATGCCTGGGAGTCTTCTGCTGGGGGCTCCTTCACTGTACGAGCAGACCATGGTGAGTAGGCTTTCCTGTTACAGTGATGAGATTGCAGTTCTTTGTGAAAACCTTCTGGTAGAAATTTTGAATATCAGAAAAAGTTTTCACTGTAGCTTTGTTTTCATCTACATGTCATTAATTTTCTTAGGTGAACCCATTGGCCGGGGTACCAAAGTGATTCTCCACCTTAAAGAAGACCAAACTGAGTACTTAGAGGAGAGGAGAGTCAAAGAAGTGGTGAAGAAGCATTCTCAGTTCATAGGTTATCCTATCACCCTTTATGTGAGTATTAATGGATAATTCATGCAATTATGTGATTCTAGAGAGCTGAACTGTCCTTCATGATTTTATTTTAAAAACTGCTGTTGATACTTGGCAGTTGGAGAAGGAACGAGAGAAAGAAATCAGTGATGATGAGGCAGAAGAAGAAAAAGGTGAGAAAGAGGAGGAAGATAAAGATGAGGAAGAAAAGCCCAAAATAGAAGATGTCGGCTCAGATGAGGAGGATGATACTGGTAAGGATAAAAAGAAGAAAACCAAGAAGATTAAGGAGAAATACATTGATCAGGAAGAACTGAACAAGACTAAGCCTATTTGGACCAGAAACCCTGATGACATCACCCAGGAGGAATATGGAGAGTTCTATAAGAGCCTAACCAATGACTGGGAAGACCACTTGGCGGTTAAGGTGAGAAACGTTTGCCTATTCGCCAAATAAAGAACAGGTGAAAAGTGCTGGTAATAGATTTGCTGCTTGTCCTACTAGTTGGTTAGGAGTAACTGCAGCTATGAGAGTTTCTTATTGCTAATTACTGTAAGAAAATACTTATGCATATAAGAGCTGGGGTGTAGGCCAGAGATGAGGTTGAAAGGATTCACCAGATACAGAGCAGGGAACAGAGCAGGCAGATACGCAGAGCAGGGGTCAGCTCCGTGGTTGGGGATTGAATTGGTGGCTGTGCTGCAGTGGTTGCAGATAGCTTGATGTTGCTCAGCCCCACCAGGGAGGGGCCAGGATGCAACTATTTTGTCTTTTACTTAGATACACATTTTGTATCAGTGTAGATTCCTTCAGGGGCTTGGTTTTGTTAGGTTTTTTGGTTCTTGTATAGAAGAATTGGTATGTAGCCCAGAGGTGCCGGGGTTCGGGGAACTCACAGAGAAAGTGGGAGCAGAACAGGTGGATCTGCTGAAACAAGACTGCTGAAGGAGACTGCTGAGGTGAGATAGAGGTCAATATGCTGCTCTGTTATGTGAGTTAACTCCCTGGCCAGGGGTAGAACTTAAGCCACAGTAACTGGCAATACCTTTTGATAGCATTGAGACTAAACTGTGCCAACAGCGAGGGTCAGGATTAATTTTCTTAATTATCCTAGTATCTTGCTGGCACCGGGGAGATTTTTGTCCCAATCAGTTTGATAATTTAGGGTTACAACTAAACTATTCACAACCTGAAGTAAAACTCCTGATTTGTGTTCCCCATCTCCCAGCATTTCTCTGTAGAAGGACAGTTGGAATTTAGGGCATTGCTCTTCATTCCACGACGGGCTCCCTTTGACCTTTTTGAGAACAAGAAGAAAAAGAACAACATCAAGCTGTATGTGCGCCGGGTGTTCATCATGGATAGCTGTGATGAGTTAATACCAGAGTATCTAAGTGAGTATTCTTTTATAAAAACTGTTGGATGGGCTTATGAGTATCCAAAATTGATTGATGTATACAGAGCTGGGGTACAGGCCAAAGGTGCGGGGGTGAGAGGATTCACCAGATTAAGTGGGGAGCAAGCAAGCAGGCAGGTGTACAGAAATGCACTGCTTAGGGGGAGCAGTGGGCGGTCAGGAGAGAGGTCTGCCATACCATGTGGGTCAGCTTCCTGGCCAGGGAACAGACTTGTGCTACAGTGGCTGTGGGTAGTTACATAGTGCGCCCTTGGCACCACTAGAGATGGCCCTTACTGAAGTCTTTATAAAAAGTATCACATTTGGTGAAATAAGCCAGAAAGGGAAAAAATGCCTGAGGGTTTCACTCATACCGGGAGTGTACGGGATCAAAATAAAGAACAAAGTAATTGTAATGAAATAAAAACTAAAATCAACAAACAACTATAAGCTAGAGACATTTTAAAGGAGCTGAGAAAATTAGGGTCAGAACTGGGGTGGGAAGAGCACATGGACTGGTGTTTGCACGTGTGAATTGGTGGTAGAAAGTCCACAGGGATTAAAACTGAGATGGAAAATGTATAGAAATGAAGAATGATGTAAAAAATGCGTAAAGTATCACAGGCTATATAATAAGTTGAAGATTCAGTGGAAAATTAGATCCTTATATCAATTCTAGGTTGACACTGTTTAAACTAAGCTTTTCCTTTCTTCATTGCAGATTTCATCCGTGGTGTGGTTGATTCTGAGGATCTGCCCCTGAACATATCTAGAGAAATGCTCCAGCAGAGCAAAATCTTGAAGGTCATTCGCAAGAATATTGTTAAGAAGTGCCTTGAGCTCTTCTCTGAGCTGGCTGAAGACAAGGAGAATTATAAGAAGTTCTATGAGGCATTTTCCAAAAATCTGAAGGTAAGGAGGTGGGAAAAGCTTACTGGTAATTAATGTACATGGCCTTTCTTTACATGGAAGGTAAAGGATTATTTCTAAGTAATGGATTTCTTGAAGAAAACTGGAGTGTAGGCCATAGGTGTGGGGGGAGTGAAGAGAATTCACTAGAGACAGTAGGGAGCAGAATAGGCAGATCTACTGAAATGCACTGCTTGCTGAGGGAGCAGCAGGCAGGTCAGGGGAGGCCTGCCACACCCTGTGGGTCAGCTCCCTGGTTCTGTGCATCGAAGTCATGCTGCAGTGGCTGACAATAGCTTCTTAGTGCGAACTTTAATTCCTATGCCACCATGGAGGCCCAGTAATAGTATTTTTCTTTTTACTCCTAAAGCTTGGAATCCATGAGGATTCTACTAATCGGCGACGCCTTTCTGAGCTGCTACGCTATCATACCTCCCAGTCTGGAGATGAGATGACTTCTCTTTCAGAATACGTGTCTCGCATGAAGGAGACCCAGAAGTCCATCTATTACATCACTGGTGTGTTTGAAGCCCTTGGGTCTGATCAAAGCCTTTCCAGGTTGTAGGGGGGAGGGGAGAATACCAAAAGCATAGTTGGGAATGGAAGTGTGAGAATGGCAATGTGAGATGTTTTGACTTATGATCGATAAATTCCACAGGTGAGAGCAAAGAGCAGGTTGCCAACTCTGCCTTTGTGGAGCGAGTGCGGAAGCGGGGCTTTGAGGTAGTATATATGACAGAGCCTATTGATGAGTACTGCGTGCAGCAGCTTAAGGAGTTTGATGGGAAGAGCCTGGTCTCAGTTACCAAGGAGGGGCTGGAGCTACCTGAGGATGAGGAAGAGAAGAAGAAGATGGAAGAGAGCAAAGCCAAGTTTGAGAATCTCTGCAAACTCATGAAAGAAATCTTGGATAAGAAGGTTGAGAAGGTAAGCAATTTTGGAATTAAAGGGTATTTTCTAATGCTTTTTTTGGCTGTTGCCCTTAGAAAATTTCATGTTCCCACTGAAAAGGTTTTAAGTTTATGTGACTCTGTTTCTGAGTTTGAGACTGGAAATACAAATATGTTTTCTCTTGATTTTGAGTAGCCTAATGTAAACTTGTTTTCTGTGTTTGTCTACAGGTGACAATTTCCAACAGGCTTGTGTCTTCACCCTGCTGCATTGTCACTAGCACCTATGGCTGGACAGCCAACATGGAGCGGATCATGAAAGCCCAAGCACTTCGGGACAACTCTACAATGGGCTACATGATGGCCAAAAAGCACCTGGAGATCAACCCTGACCACCCTATTGTGGAAACACTGAGACAGAAGGCAGAGGCAGACAAGAATGATAAGGCTGTCAAAGACCTGGTGGTGCTGCTGTTTGAAACTGCCCTGCTCTCTTCTGGCTTCTCACTTGAGGATCCCCAGACCCACTCAAATCGTATCTACCGCATGATCAAACTAGGTTTGGGTGAGTCTCTTTGTGGCAAGGAGCCTGGGAAGTGTCTTTTGGGCCATGTTTCTGCTTTTTGTTGGACTTAATGACTATTTCAGTCAAATGTTTTTTTACTACTTCTAGGCATTGATGAAGATGAAGTAACAGCAGAGGAGCCCAGTGCTGCTGTTCCTGATGAGATCCCTCCCCTTGAGGGTGATGAGGATGCATCTCGCATGGAAGAAGTAGACTAAGAGTTCTTACCTATACACACCCTGTGTCCTCTGTATAGTGTTCCCATCTTTTCCCCCCAGCAGCCTGAGTGGCCCTGCCCACCTGGTTCCTTCTGCTGATAAAACTATAGTGTTTTTTCTTTGTTGTCTTATCTAAGACAGGATAGGAGGGTCTCAAGCCCTTTACCCCTCCCATGTTGACAGCGGGTTTGGATGTTGTGAATTTTTTTGTTTATTTTGTTCTGAAATTAAAGTATGCAAAATAAAGACAATGCAGTTTTATACAGTTCTGCTCTCACTTGTAAAGTGGATATAATGCTACCTTGTCATCTAGAGTATACAGTACTCAAAAGATGACTTTGTAGCTATGTAGCTGTTGGAGAAACAAAACTTAAACCACGATGTAAAACTGGTTTTCATCCCACTTCTAGAATGTGTATTGAAGTAAAGCAAAACACAGGACCATTGTAGCAATTTAATAAAATAAAATTATAAGAGCCAAAAGTTACATTACCAAAGTACCAAAACCTGCAACTGGCTCCAGGTGCTCCATGAGCCCACAGTTCAAGGAGCACAGAGGGTGGCACTGTTGGGCAGGGCGCTCGATCCCTCCCTCCAGCACAGCACCATCTTTGTCCTGGGAAAGCAGCATTTGGAGTCTACAACACTTTGTGCTTTTCTCACCAGAGTAAGAGATGCAAGTCTCTGGGTATTCAAGGTAGGGGACAAGCACAGGTAACCTGCTGTGGCAGAGGTGAAATTTCTAGGAACTTGGAGTTGGGGAGGGAAGGTTTGGAAGGTGTCCACCTTCATACTGAATGTCTACCATTGGGCTCCTAAGCATCCTGCCTACTAGAGGATGAGTGACTGACTTAAGGCAAAGGGGAAGGCTTCCTCCAGGGCCCCCTGTCCCCACCAGCTGCAAAGCTGGCTTTTTGATGAAAAATTTGCATTTTGCCCTTGAGCCAGCCTCTTGAGAAGTTTACTTAGGAGGCAGTTAAGATTAAGGGTCCTGTTAAACTTCAGTACTCAAACCTTCTGCACAGTTGACTCCACTGGCACAACTTTCTTTCCCCGTTGTTTTAGACGGCCCCGTGCATAGACTCGGAGCAAGAGAGCAGCAAAGACCACGACTACCCCCAGACTTCCCACCACAGTGATTGTGTGGCCATAGAGGAGGCAGGAGAGCAGGATGGCAAAAGCCTGCCGGAGGGTCATGATGATGGTGAAGGCGGCAGCCCCAAACTGCCCAATGGTGTAGAAGATCAGGAGTTGGCCACATGCCGAGCAGACAGACAATAGGAGGGCATGTGCAGCAAACTCACTGTGTCGCCCCATGAAGCGGGTCCCCTCTAGGAGAGCCCCCTGCTCTAGCAGGGAGCCCACAGTGAAGAGACAGGAAAAAAAGTTGACCCCGAACATCATCTGCACTGATGACATCTTATAGGCAAACAGGGCTTCTTGCCAGTTTGAGGTGAAGCTGTCGAAGACAATGTAGCCTGCCAACAGGACAAGGCCTGAGAGAGTTGTGGCTGGGGAGCTGCGGGGCTCTGGTCCGCTGGACAGCAGAAACATGCTGACACCAATGGAGATGAGGCCGGCGGTCAGGTATTCCCAGTGTTCATAGCTGCGGCGGGACACCAGCTTTCCCATCATCATGACAGGGATCACCTTTGAGGCTTTTGCCAGCACCTGGGTGGGGAAACTGACGAATTTCAGAGCTTCATATTGGCACCAGCTGCTCAGCACATTTGATAGGCTGGCAAATGAGTACCGATACATGGGCGCCCCATGCCGGGGCTGCTTGAAGAAGATGCAGCAGAGGCCAGCCACAATCAGTGCCAGCACTCGATTCATTAGCACCAGGAACTGTGAGTCTGTGAAGCGCTCCCCTGGTGATGTGGCTGTCGCCCCATAACTTCGGGTCATCACTCTCTCCTGCAGCACACCCCATGTCAGGTAAGATGCCTGGGTTGGGGAGGGTGGAAATAAAAGACAGGAGGAAAAGATGGGCAAAGATGGACCTCAACAATCCTCTTTGTCCTTGGAAGGCTGTCTTAAGTGATTTAAAGGACAACATGCATATTTTGCTTGCTCAAGTGAATCAAGCTAGGGTTCACCTGGTAAGGAGTCAAGTGTGAATGAAACACTTAAGACACACATTTTAGAACTGCCCAGATCCTGTCTGTCCCCACCATAGTGGGTATTAAGAGTGGACTCCAATCCTCAACCAATTCAGCAAGGCAGGAATTCTCAGAGATCAGTGATACAGATTTAACATGACTTCAAAGTGCCATGAGGTCAGTACCTTAGCACCCCTCTCATAGGTAGTATTGGGGAAAGGTTGAATGGAGACCCCAAACTTTCAATTTACTTTCATGGGCTTACTATATGAGACACAGTGCAGGGGAAAGTGTAATACAGTAGAAATGAGGTAAGAGAAAGGAGGATAATGAAGACAGGGTTTCCTCTATCCACCATGCAGCTGGTGGTACAATTTGGTCCGAGAAAGGGAGACACATTACACACCACTAAGCAAACCTTTGGAAATGGTAGGGTGAAACTGCTTCCAGATCCCCTGGAGCCCACAAGACCCAACCCAGGAAGGGAAGTAAAGCCTGCCTACTCACCAGGAGCCCAGTGGCACAGGAGAGCAGCTTCAGGGCCTGCCAAGGGGTGGTCTCTGCAGGTTCTGTCCTGGCGGCCAGGGGAACTTCATCCGAGGCCTTGGGCTCATTGCCAAAAACACAAGTTTTAACCAGAGGGAAGCAGAGGCCCCTGCCTGAAGAAGCCACACAAAATTAAGCCCCACATCTTCTAGTATCCCGTACTCTCAGAGCAGCCACCCAGTTCAGCTGTTGGTTCTGCAGGCCTCCTTTCCCCCCTCCCTTTCCAAGCCACATCCGGTTAGGATTGCTGGCCAAGGTAGTCAAAATCCGGCCCTTGCACACTTTCCCACAAATCGGACCTGTACACGTCCCCACCTTCCCCACACACCTGTCTCCAGGTAGTTCTTGTGCCTGAAGTACCGCACTAGCAGGTAGCCAGGTACCATAAAGCTGGCATAGCCAGCTGCATTCACCAAAAAGCGGAAGAACCATTGCTGGGTCCATGTCTCTGGGGGGGCTTCCGGGGTGTCCCCACCTGCCCCCAGGGAAGGGAGTGCAGCCAGAACCACCACTGCCCACCACCTGCGGGAACAGCGGACATAAGTATTAGGGTGCAGTTCCTAAACCACTCCGCCCTCCGGAGGGGAACCACACTGGAAAAGGGCCCGGAGTCTCCTCCCCGCCCCCCTCAGCTGCAGCCCAGCACGGACAAAGAGCCTCTCTCTGGGGGGGAAGCGGGGGACGGCGCGGGCCAGGCAAGGCTCCCTCCTCCTAGGGGGCGGGCCGCCCCTCCGGCCACACAGGTTCCCTCTGTTCCCTTCAGAGCTCGCCGGCTGCTAAGGCCAGAGGCGGGGGCCCCCTCCCGAGCCCCGCCCTTCGGGCTGCCGGAGCGCCAGGGTTCCCCAATTCCTCTGCCAGACACACTGGAACCCTCGGGAGGTGCAAGCCGCGCCCCCACCCCCACCCCACGCTTGCCGGCTCCGGGCAGCGCTCTGCGGGCCTAGCGCCCAGCAGCTGGGACCCCACCCGGGCCCCGGTGCCGAGGAGCGGCGGTCACGTGGTCCGGGGCCCGGTCACGTGAGCGCGCGACTCCCCTAGCCCCCCACCTGGCGTCCATGGTTCAGGCCGCGTGGGGCGGAGGGGGACCGGGGAATGCGGGTCCCCAGGCCGCGCGCTCCCTCCGCTCCCGCCGCCGGCTCCAGCGGCTGCCAGTGAGTGAGCCGCTAGCGGAAGTGCCGCGCTCTTCCCGCCTCCCTCCCGGCGGCCGCCCCTCCGCCCCTAGCCGAGACTATGCAGCGCCCCGGGCCGCCGCCTGGCGACAGCGCCCCCGCGCGGTCTGGAGGGGACGCCGCCGGGTTCCTGCGAGCAGGCTGCCCCTGGGCGGAGGTGAAGTGGGGAACCCCAGTTCTGAGCTTCCCACTGCATGATCGTCCCGTTGGCCGAGCCTCCCACTGCATGATCGTCCCCTTTGGCCGTCACAGCCTGCTCTGGAGGGAGCGGGGACCACCGACATCTTAGGGACTCAGACACTGAGTTCCTACATCCCAAGCTTTTCCCTTTCTATAACAATTTTTCAGTTTTGACTGGAAGAGGTCTTCCTTTATTGGCTAAGCCATTTCCACCCCGCTTTCCCCAAGACCTTCGAGGTTTTGTATGACCCCCTTCTACCTCGCCCACTCATCCACCCCCTGTAGAGCCCCATGGGCCTGCTCTCAGTCCCTCTAATTCACCTGAGGCCTTACCCCAATGTTCTCTCCCATCCCTTACTCATCCTTAAATACCAGTTGAGATGAGAGTACCCTGACCACTCAGAGTATGGCTTTCCACTCATTCCATTGTTTTTCCCCCTATTCTTTCCCTTCACAGCATCTGTCACTGTTTGTAATTACATATTTATTTGGATGTTTATGATTTTAATGGCTATCTCACTTACTATGAACTCTGAGTGGCCAGAGACTGTGTTGGTTTATTCTCCCAGATTCTTCATGCCAACACAGGCCTGACTGCAGAGGCCCCTCACATGTGTGTGGAATGAGAGTAAAAAAGAGCATAAAACAGTCACAGCTCCCTGGTGTCACCCTTCTTATGCTCGTCCTTCCCTCTAGTCTCTCCTAGATGGCAATCCCAGGGCAATGGTAAGGCCTCTCACCTCTTTTCCCTCTGCATTTTCACAGAAGTGGTAGGGGTCTGTGCTGACAGAAAGGCCTGGGAACTGTTAGCCTCTCTAGCTTATCTAACAAGTCTCTGCACTACTCAAGTCACAATTTCCTTCTCTCTACCTCTACCACAAGGTCTCAAGGCAGACCTGTCTAAAATTCCCCGGTGCACACAGACCTGCATGCACGCAAAATAACTGATGGGGGAGGGCATTTTAAAAGTCTCTGATGTTTTAGTGTCATGTTATTGAAACTTCCCCCTCCCCAAAGACTCAGTTCAGGGCCCTCTGTATGAAGTCTTTAGGCAACAGTGTTTAGGAATCCTCAATAGCAGTGAGACAGAACCTTCTCAGGGCCCTGTTTGTTCATATTTCAGCCTGTCTCTTCATTCAGAAGGGTCCCTTTTTCCATTCAGAAGGCAATTTTAGGCTGACCCAACATGGGTAGAAACAAGAGCCCCTGTCATCCTCAAGAGAGGCAAACATGCTTCACCCAGGATACCTGGGACTTTGGGGGTCTTCCAAGAATCTCTTCCACCTGGGAAGCTCTTTCTTCTAGACTGGCTCTCACTTGTGATCCCGCTGTCAGTTCAGAGCTGTGCTGGTCTCAATCTCTGGCCTCAGCAGTCCCTAGGACACCCAAAGAGCACACTGCTTGGGCCCACACTCCAGCAGCTTCCAGATGGGAAGAGGTAGCGCTTCCGGAGCCCCAGAGCCTGTCCTGGCTTCAGTCGGCGCACAACAGCGGCTTCCCTGAGATCTTCAGATCATCGAAGGGCAACAGAGCAAGGGGCTAAGAGAATGGAGAGAAGAAAGGTCAGAGTGCCAGGGGAGAAAGCAGCAGTGGGGGAAGGACGCTAGGGAGACCTGTGGGGCCATTTCCTTCCCATCAAATGACAGTTGAAGGACATCAGGCAACACATCCTTCTGACCTCAAAAATGCTGCTCTGGGCTACAGCCAAGTCTTGAGGTCTTAGATAAGACTTTACTTACTAAGAAAATGCCAGAATTTCAGAGATCCAGCCCATGGATCTTTTTTTTTTGGGGGGGGGGAGAGGTGAGGGGAAGAGCTTGGGGTAGAGGAAGACTACTCACAAAACATTTTGAATAGTATTTCATACTAAATATTTTTAAATGGTAAAGATAGAGAAATCTAGGTTTCATTTCTATTACATTCCAAGAGCTAGAAAGACCAGGGCCCACATTCCTCATCTGCAACCTCCTGAAGTCTAGTCAGGAGTAGCCGTCTGCATCTCCAGGGTGCACAGCCCCACTGCCTCACTGTCGTGTGCAGCCCCCTTCACTGCTACACTTGAGCTGTAGGGCGCCTACAGGAGTCCACATTTGGGGTATTGGTTGGCGATGAGAGAAGGGCAGAGGTCTGCCCACGGCAGAACAGTTGATGAGTGACACACGGGTATATTATATCCCGGGATTGCTAATTCCTTGGGCATTTCAGCTCTTACTGGTCCTTAGCCCTGCTTGTGGGGGTCCCAGAGAGCAGAGCTGAATATATGCTTACATCCTCAGCCAGGTCTTGTGGAGTCTCATCCTCCACGTTCCGAAGCAGGGAGTCAGCACCTGCCTGGCACAGAGTGGATGAGATGCTGCTGAGGCCCCGGCCAGCCGCGAGGTGCAGGGGTGTGCATCCGTTGAGCATACGGGCATCCACCCGGGCCCCAGCCTGCAGCAAGAACTGCACCAGACCCCGCTCCTGGGTCTCCACGGCCAGGTGCAGCGCTGTCTTCCCACTTGTGCCCTCCTGGAAGGGATAAGGCTGTCAGCCAAGGCCCTCATAAGGACACCTGCTAGGCCCAGGCCCATCTTTCCTCATCATTTGGTCAGGAGACCCCGGCCCGGCCCCCTACCGCCCCCCTCCACCCACCACGCCCGGGACCAGGTGGTGGACGGGCCCTAGACTGGGAAGAACCCTGATTGGTCAGCTCACCTGCGCATCAATGTCAGCTCCGTTCTGAAGCAGCAGTTTCATGAGCAGCGGATTCTTCTGTAGGGTGGCGATGTGGAGACAGGTCAAACCTGTGATGGGGTGAGAGTGGGGGCTGCTGATGTGCCTCCCTTCCCTTTTCTCCCTCCCTCCTCTCTACCTCCTGATCCCTCAGACCCAGGGGACCTACGGCCCACTCAGTGCCACTGATCACAGGACTGTTAAAATGTAAGCCCAAAAAACCCCTCAAAAGTCTGAGGGGAAAGGGACTCAAAATTTCCACCTCTGAGAGTCATGTTATTGAAACTTTCATGCTTCAGGGGTCAGGTTGCTAAGTGACGCCCCCGCATACACACATCCTCCCCCACGCACCACTCTGACTCTGTCAAACTCCACCTGCCTTCAAGCCCTGCACAAAAGCCGCCTTCTTCAGAGTCCCCCAGGTCCTCATGCCCCCAGTCCCTCCCCAAGGGCTACTTTCCCTCCTCACCTTCCCTGAGTGCTTCCCTAGCCATTCTGCTACCTCCTGTCTGGCCTAAGCCCCTCTCTTCTTGCTTAGAGAACTCCTTTTAGGTTCACATCCCTTGCCTCCGTCAAGTCTCTGCTCAAATGAAGCTTTCCCAGGACGTCCTAATTTTTCTGGTTCTCCTCATTCTGCTCTACTTTCCTCTAGCAAGTTCTGCCTTTGAACCTACTGTATAACCCACATTTATTCAGTTCTGTCTCAGTCATTCTCTTGTGTTTGCAGGTACAAGTCCAGTTCCTAGAATAGTGACTAGCACACAGAAGGCCCTCAGTATAGTTTTGAGTTACTCTGAATATTAAATTGAGAGCAAGGCTAAGTGTTCTGCTTAGCATGCAGGAGGTGTTCAGTAAATTCTAAATCCAGGGCCCTCCCTGGTGGTGCAAGGGGTTAAAGCAAGCACTATGAAGCTGTCCACAGCTACTGCAACACAAGTTCGATCTCTAGCCAGGGAGCTGACCCACATGGTGTGGCAGACTTCTCCCGACCCATCTCCTCTGCTTCCCTCAGCAGTGTATTTCAGTCAGTCTGCCTGTTCTGTTCCCTGCTCTGTTTCTGGTGAATCTTCTCACCCCTCACACCTCAGGCCTGTACCCCAGTTCTGGTATGCATAAGTAAATAAATCTTTAAAAATATTCTAAACTCATTAATTCATTCTTTCATTCAACAATGATATACTTAGTACCTATGTGCATCACCTTCCCTGAGAGTGGGGTCTCCTATCTCCTGTCCCCACTTTCTCCTAAGGACTCTGAGGCTGCCAGCACCTTGCCAGTTTTGCAGGTGGAGGTCCAGGGAGTGAGGTGGTCCTCTGCCAGGTTCTGGCTGCCCCTCCAGCAGGCAGCGGGCACAGGCCAGATGCTGGCGCTGACAGGCCACATGCAGGGCCGTGTCACCATGCCGGTCCTGTAGCTCCCGGCTGGCCCCCTTCAGCACCAAGGCCTGGACTGCACCTGGCTGGTCCAGATGTACGGCGAGATGGAGTGCTGTCTGCAGACACAAACAGAGGGTCACAGGGCCACTGCAGTTTGCTCCCACCTCTGGGGACATGGCAGCGTGGGCACAGCAGTTGCCAGCTGCCAGCACCTCCTTTGAGGGTGACTTATAAAGGCTAAGTCCTTCCCTCTGTCACTTCCCCATCAAGCTCTTGCAACCCCAACTCTGTAAGCAGGGAAAGGGAAGTGGCTCCCTGGTTTTCTTGTAGGTCCCTTCAGCTTCTGGAGAAGGGACTGATGGGGCAGGATCTAACCTCTTACCACTATGGAGACCTCAGGCAATCTCCACTTGGCACATTCTGCCTAGAAGGCCCCATTCAGTTGTCACCTGCCTGGCTGTTCCCAAAGACACTGGCACCCCACAGCAGCTGGCATGGGTCTGCATCACAACTCAGGTCATCATGCTATGTAATGACAGGAGATGCAAGTCCCCCTGTCCAGGCTGCGAGCACCCTTGTGGGCAGAGGCTGTGTCCTCCTCATCTCTATCCTCAGCTTCTCGCCCAGTGTCTGCATAGTGTTTCCTGAACGAGCAACCTAAGGACACTTATGTGGCTGCTGAGGATGGCACACAGGGGAGATCTGGGCA